GAGCCTCATTTGCATACCTAATGAGCCACCATTTTTTTCAGAAGAGTCTCTTGCGCAAGAAGGAGCGTCTGCACTGCCCCTTCTTGCACAAGAAAAACCCTCTTGCGCAACGCCATTATTCCTGAAAAGTAATAGGTGTAACGGCGTTGCGCAAGAGGGTTTTTCTTGCGCAAGAAGGGGCAGTGAAGATGCTCCTTCTTGCGCAAGAGCCTCTTCTGAAAAAAATGGTGGCTCATTAGATATGCAAATGAGGCTCGGCGATATTCCATGCTTAGCCTCATTTGCATATTACTCGCGCAAGAAGCCGCGAGTGTAGACATAGCCCCTGTGTGCTTTGCTTTTCCTCCTGGAGGGGAAGGAGAACAGCAAGCAGCTTCCCCATATGAATCCCAAGTGTTGGGGGTAGTGGACTTCAGCCCTCCCTAAATGGTGCCGGAGGAGGGGGGACGTTCAGGGCTGGGGAAGTTGTGGACCAGTGAGGTAGCGTGCCCCAAACCAGCCCCTTTAACCTGGCCACCTGACTGCCTGCTCTGGCACCTGAGTGCCCCAACCGGCTGGCTCTTTCTTGCCAGAGCGACCCACTGGGATGCACTGGCTTGCTTTCACCTCTGCCAAGAACTCTTCTGTTCATAGATACCTAGCTCCCAAGGCATAAAAGGGACCATTCTGACCATCTAGTAATTCCTGTTTCTGCTAGAGCATGACCTGGTAGCATTTTGCACCTACTTTCCACAGGTCAGAACAGCTGCCTGAGGAGCATTATAAAACTTGGCAGTCAAGGATGTGAATGAAACAACAGAGACTTAGTGGGGTAACTCATATGACTGGAACCCTGCCATGGATGGCTGTACACTATTCAGGAAGGAGAGGTGGAGAAAAGGTGAAGGAGAGACACTCTGTGTAAGAGAGCAGTATCACTGCTCACAGCTCCAGTATGAACTGGAGAAAAGCCTGTAGAGAATCTCTGGGTAAACATTAGAGACGAGAGCAGCAAGGGTGATGTCATGGTGGGCATCAGCTATAGACCACCAGACCAGGAGATTCAGGTAGATGAGCTTTCTTCAGATAATTAACAGAGGTTTCCAGATCACAGGCCCTGGATTTCAATCACCATCACATCTGCTGGGAGAGCAATACAGCAGTGCACAAAAAATCCAGGAAGTTTTTGGAGAGATTTGAGAAAAACTTCCCTAGTTGGTTCCTCCAGCTAGGTTGGTACCAGGAGGTTGGTTCCTCCAGGAGGTTGGTACCAGGACCATGCTCCTCTTGACCTGTTGCTCACAAACAGGGAAGAATTGGGAGGGGGAAGTAGAATAAGGTGGCAACCTGGGTAGCAGTGACCATGGGATGGTTGAGTTCAGGATTCTGACCAAAGGAAGAAAGGAAAACAGGAAAATATATACCCTGGACTTCAAAAATTCAGACTCTGACACACACACACACACACACACTCCTGCCCCCCGAGATAACTGATGGGCAGGATCCTCTGGGAGGCTAATCTGAGGGGGAAAGGCCTCCAGGAGAGCTGGCTGTATTTTAAAGAAGCCTTATTGAGAGCACAGGGACAAACCATCCCAATGTGCAGAAAGAATAGCAAAGATGGCAGGCGACCGGCTTGGCTTAGCAGAGAAATCTTCAGTGAGCTTAAACACAAAAAGGAAGCTTCCAAGAAGTGGAAACTTGGACAGATGAGTAGAGAGGAGCATAAAAACATTGCTTGAGCACGCAGGGGTGTAATCGGGAAGGCCAAAGCGCAGCTGGAGCTGCAGCAGGAAAGGATGTGAAGGATACCGAGAACGGTTTCTAAAGGTCTGTTAGCAATAATAAGGTGGAACGGGACCTTTACTGAATGGTGAGGCAACCTAGTGACAGATGAGGTGGAAAAAGCTGAAGTGCTCAATCAGGGGTGGTAGGTGTAAGAGGCAGAGGAAGGTAGGGTTTTCCCAAACCGCCAGCCTGGCCGCAGCCAGACTGCCCCCAAAACACCTATTGTAAGTGTATTGGGGGTGGGGTAGTGCCGCCCCCAAGTGCCTGCCCTGCTCATGCTCCAACAGGGGAAAGAAAGAGGATCAGGGAAACTACAGACCAGTCAGCCTCACTTCAGTCCCTGGAAAAATCATGGAGCAAGTCCTCAAGGAATCCATTTTAAAACACTTGGAAGAGAGGAAGGTGACCAGGCAAGCTCAGCCAGGCACCACGATCATGTTGCTGGCAGATTGTGGGGGCGCAGGGTTGTCTTTGGTGAAAATTCACTGCCTGGTGTTGTTTAATCCTCATCTCTGACTCGGTTCGTTCCCTGGTTACAGGAGGCAGCAATGGCCGATGGGGGTGGGACAGATCCCGCCGTGTTCACCTCCAGCACTCTACCCTCAGATCCTCGCCTCTTCGCGACAGTGACCAATGCCTACCTGGGCACCCGAGTTTACAGAGACATCCTCCATGTAAATGGGGTATATAATGGAGCAGTGGGGGACACTCACCGTGCCGACATCCCCAGCCCTGTCAATGTCAGAATCAGTGTGCCTGACGAGGATGGACTGACAGAAACCTTCACCTTGAACACCAGGACAGGTAGACAGCACCTCAGATCCCAGGCTACAGCTACTTTCTTATGCTTGTTTGCCTGATTTTCCTTTCTCCTCATTTTCAGTGGCTCCCTCTTAAAAGCCTAGAAGTTACATCCCTAAATCCCTTTACCAGTGTTTTCATTTTCTATGTGATCAACACATTCTCTCTCCTCCCTTCCTGGGCCTAAGATTCTATCTGAGTCAGAAACAAGCTGGATTTTGTGTTCCCTTCTTGCTGGGTGCATGGCATCATGGATAGGGGTCAGTAAAAAGCATGCACCAATCTGTGCTATGTTCATGGCATACACACAGTGAAAACAGATTAAAAAGGTAAAATACTCTCATTGGAAGTGTTGCAACATAACTACAGTATTTCTTAGAATTCAAAACAGTCATACACCAAAAAATCCAAAACAGAGAGAGACAAAGCAGGCTGCTCTCTAAAAAAAAGAAGGGCAAAACTCACCTCACCTTACTCTAGACTAGTGCAAGTGGCCCATCGGGGTTCTATGTGTGGCCCATGCAACCCTCCTCTGTCCCCTCCCTCTGCACCTTTTGCACACTGGGGATCCTGCACAAGCCTATCCCCCCCCCCCCTCCCAGAACTTCCAAGCACTGTGAACCAGCCAATTCCCAGTGCTCCAGAAGTGCTGGGAGGGAGGAGGAGGAGGAGTGGGCATGGGGTGTGCTTGGGGAAAGCGGCAGAGAAGAGGCCAGGTGGAGGTATGAGGAAAAGGGTGAAGTTGGCGCAGAGGGGAAGGTGGAGCAGCCTCTGGCAAAATGAGAAGTGGTCCATACATGCACAGGTGCCCATATCCCAGCTGGGATCAGGTCCTCGATTTAGAGAGCAGAAGGGAACATCTGAGAAGAGGAGACGCTGAACGATAATTCTGTTTGTGTCCACAGGGACCTTCAGTCATGTGCTTCAGTCAGCCGGTTACACAGCCACCTACAGGCTCTTCGCCCACCAGTCCCTGGTACACCTACTGGCCTTCAGCATCACTATCCAACGACTGGCTCCCAAAGGCCAGCCAGTGACTGTGCAGCTCCAGACGCAATTCACACCACAAAGCCAGGACCTGGTCTTGCACAGAGGGCAGGACTTCCAGGGAGCTCAGTGAGTGTGCTCATGGCAGGGTGTACCCAGCAGGGGTGTGGCCTGGGGGGGGGGGGGGGGGAAGACTTGCCCTCTTTCCAACTTTCAAATGGGTGACAAAGAAAGCTAGGACAATGGCTGGGGTTCTCAGAGGCCAAGATGACTCTGAACAACTTTACCCATCATTCCGAGGGTCTGGGCCTGGGAGTCAGAACTGCCTCGGGCCCTTGGTACTTTTGGAGGTGTCTCAGCCACAGACGTATTAGCCACAACCGCAGCAGCTGATTAGCTTGGAGGGAGATGGGAAGAGTCTGGAAAGCTGAGATTCCTAGAGTCCAGCTCAACCGAAATCAGGATGTCTTAAATGTCCTGTCTGAGGTGTACTTGATGTTGGGGGGGGGGGGGGAAGGTGTTAATTCAATTGATGGAGACAGCCCCATCTTCACTCCTGTGGGTGGTGCCAGCCAGGAGGTGAACTACAGGTTGAACCTCCCTGGTCCGGCACCCTCAAGAGCTGAGTGGTCCCAAACAAGGGAATTTGCCGGACCAGGGGAGGTCAGGTGTCTCGGCTCTCCCGGGGTTCCCCTCCTGGCTGCTGCCCCAGGAGAACCTGCAGGCTTGACCTCTCCTGACCCACCTACCGGGCCCACCTCTGCTGCCCCTAGCCCACTCCCAGAGATCTGCTACCTGGCTCCAGCCCCATGCGGGGCAGCAGCTGCTCCCTGGTCTCCTCGCTCCCAGATAACTGACCAGACCAGCTCCACTCCCAGCCGCTCTCAGCCTCTGCAGCGGGGGCTCGCTGGTCTAGGAACATCTGCGGTCCTTCTGGACTATGGATGTTGCCAAACCAGGGAATCCCAGGTGAGAGGGGCTCAAACTGTGCAAGCTTTTCAGTATCCCACTGCAGGAGGGCGCTGCCCAAAGGAGAGCATCTTGACACTGGCCCTGGGGGGGAAATGCCAGGGAGAGAAAAACAATCTGAAGGGGGAAAAGAGTCCAAGGCCCAGATATTCCCAAGTATTTAGGCTTGAAATAAATGGAAGTTGGGAGGCTAAATACCTTAGAAGATCTGGGCCAATGAGACAATCCAAGGGAGGAAAGAGGGGGTGTAAATGTGAACCCTGGACTCTCCTCTTTAGGTTATGAAGGGGAAATAAATCAAAGTCTATTGGTCTCTCTTCTCACCACCCCTTTGCTGTGCTCCACACCTCTTGCTAATAACAATGGAAGGAGAGTCATGATACATTTCAGACTCCTAGAATCCTAGGGCTGGAAGAGACCTCAGGAGGTCACCTGGTCCAGCCTCCTGCCCAAGGCAGGACCAACCCCAACTCAATCATCCCAGCCAGGACTTAAAAACCTCTAGGGATGGAGATTCCACCCCCTCCTTAGGCATCCCATCCCAGTGCTTCACCTCAGAAGCTCTGTCTGGGGGTGAGATTCCCTTGTAATTAAATGGGGAGGAGAAGGGCGAGGTATGGGATGGGCCTGATCCTCAGCTACTATGAACTGACATCACTATTTTGGAGTAAAGAGCTACACTGATTTACGCCAGTGGATAAACTGGCCCATAGAGTTACTCACTGGGTGGATGATCCCTTTCTGGCTGCTGAGACAACACTGAAATACCCCATGCTGTTTGCTATATCTTGCAGCTATATCTATGGGGAAACGTTGATCCCAGAGGTGGAGGGGGCTCCACAGCCCTCTGTGCACATGATCTGGACTCCCGTTCCGCAGGCGGTGACCCTGCCCGGGGAAGAGCCGGAGAGAACCTGGGAGTTCCTGACCGCAGTGGATGGCAGCGAAGAGGAAGTGAAGAGGCACTTTCATGAAGGAAAGTCCCTGATCGCTGCTGGCTCCTTATACGCCTCTCACACCCGGGCCTGGGCAGCGCTCTGGAAAGGCTGCCATGTAGATGTAGATGGGCCTTTCCCTTTGAGGCAGGCCTTGTATGGCTGTCTCTATTACCTGCTGAGCGCAATTCCTCCCCTGGATTCTCCTGACTTCCTCTTCCATGGAATCAGCCCCGGTGGGTTATCCAACGGCACGCAGGGAGAAGACTATTGGGGGCACGTCTTCTGGGACCAGGTGGGCTATGGAAGACTGCAGCCCATAATTCTATTGCGTGTATCACACATGCTACAGCACTCCAGGCTGGGAGTGGGAAATGCAGTACTGGTTGGGAGACGTAGCAACAGTCTACTTCCTGGGAGGCTGACAGGGCAAATCTTGGGCGCCAGCAGTGGGGCGTGTATCCTGCCATATGCAGAGGTTGGGAAGACAGCTAATGGCAGTAGTGTCATAGCTTGTTGAGCCTCCTGAACCCAGACTCTGTCGCTATAACCAGATTTGTAACCCATTTTTTTCAGGGTTTAGTATGAGCCTAAGCCATCATTAAAACTTGGCACATGTCCATAGTCAGCTCAGTGTCCGTCTCCCCCCACCAAAGGCTTAGATCAGCACATGTTTTTCTTCCTATAACTGTCTCACCGCGCAGACTACTTGACACCCTGTCTCTGGAACTGGTGTGGATGGTTCTTCCCAGCAATGTGTGGGGTTGAACATCCCCAAGGGCCTTACCCACGAGCTGCTGCTGCAGATGAATGTCCTCCAGGCTCTCTGTCCCCAACTGGGGCACTCTGGGAAAACTGCTTAGCTAGTGCCCGCATGCCCTGATACTAGCACGGCTCAGAAGCATGGCAGGCAGGGATACAATGCTAGCCAGTAACGTGCACAGTTAACTGTGGGTGTGTTGGCAGGGCTTAGGAGGCTCCCACAGTATTCAGAGACTGGGACAAGCCCTTGCGTTCTCTCTGGGTTCTGGCCCACTAACATCCCCTACTTTTGTTAAGTGTCTGATCTTATGTAGACTAATTTTCCATTTCCAGGACACGTGGATATACCCAAACATCCTGTTGTTTTACCCGGAAGCAGCCCGCGCCATCCTGCAGTACCGTATTCGAGCACTAGGTGGCGCGCTGAAGAACGCCCAGGAGCAGGGATATAAGGTAGGGATAGAGTTGGGCATGAGAGAAGATAGTCCTCAAAGGAAATAAACCTCTTAATCCTTCACTGTCCCTGATCTGCCCCGTTCCGAGGGTCCTGCTCAGCCTCTCCGGGGGGTGTTGTTTCTGGCAGGGTGCCAAGTTCCCTTGGGAGAGCGCGGCCACTGGCCGGGAAGTCTGCCCTGAAAAGATTTATGGAGCCCAAGAAGTTCACATCAATGGGGACGTGTTGCTGGCCTTTGAGCAGTATTACCACACCACACAGGTAACCCAGACACGTGCGGTTTGGGGCAGATCTGACGACGGTGCCAGAAAGGGGGCAGGCCCAGTGGCCACAGCTACCAGTGTATTGGGCAATTCCTTGGATGTTCCTCTTGATGACTGGAGTCCTCCCCTCCCCTCCCCTCCCATCTCTATTCCCCCCCCCCTTCACAATGACCAGTAACACCCCCTGACTCAACACTCCACTATCTAGGGTGGCCCTTCTTCAATGCCTGCTCCTCAGATGTTCCTTATTTGACTAGTTCAGCATCTTGCTAAGTGACCCTCAACTAATCTGTCTTCTAACCCTTTCCCTAACTGGTACAACTGGTTCCCAGAGTCCCCTGGGCTCCCTGCTGCTCTTCTCGGGCCCTGCTTATTCCATTTTTCTTTCCCGTGTCTCCCTTGCCTGGCGTCTAAATGCTTTCGGAATCGGCGCTAGGAGGCCCAACTGAAAAGAAGCATTAAATAGCCCCCACTGATGGGTGGAGCTGTGACTCTTCTCTGCTGTCCAGTTAGAAATCTGTCTTCTCAAAAATGGGTGGAATGATGTGGCCAGTCACGTGGCCCCCCATTTGCTGTCTGGTTTGTACTGAGCATGCCCGTATAGACTGAGCACGCTCAGTATCATTGCTGAAGTCGGCTGCCCCTCACTCAGCCACCCTTCCCCCCCAGGTATGGGTCACCGCTGGCTGACATGAAGCTTACTAAGGCCAGGTCTACACTGTATTGTAAGCTCAGGGTTAAAACTCAGGCCTGGATTTAACCCCCCCTTGTATCTACACATAAATTGGGCTAACCCAGGCTCAGACTCAAGACCCTACAAGTTTGGAGGGTCCAAGCCTGAGCCAAGCTGGGACCTAGGGTTCAAGCCCTGTTATTTTGCAGTGTAGACACAGACCACTAGACCAGGCAATAATTTTTGCAGAGGGGCCACTTCAAGAATTTTGGTAAGTGGTCATGGGCCGCACGTTTCTATTATATTAATGGAGAGGATGTGGGGTCTGGGCTGGACTTTGGGTGCAGAAGAGAGCTCTGGATAGAGACTGGGGTGCAGAAGGAGGTATGGGGCCTAGGAGGGAGTTTGGAAGCAGGAGACCATTGGCCAATGGGAGCTATGAGGATGGTGCTGGGGGTGGGGCAGTGCACAGAAACCTGTTGCCCCCTCCCCCTCAGAAGCATGCAGAGACATGCTTACTAGCAGCAGCCAGCAGCTTGCGGGAGCAGCATGGCTGGGGCCACAGTAGGCAAGCAGCTTACCCGAGCCCCCCACTCTGGCATGGGACATTTTCCTCAAGCCCTGACCCAGGGAGTTATTTTGCCCACCCCACATATTACCCACTTATGCTCCGTGATATCCCCAAAAGTACGCTGGCACCCCAGGGGACGGCTTTATTTCTCTTCTGGATAATCAAGTGGACAGCCAAGTTTTCCCACACAGGACCACAAATAACAGGCACATTATGGCAGGGCGGTAGGAAGTTTGCGATACGGGTGGTTGGACTTGGGGTTCCTATTCTGGAATTACAGAGATGCTAAGTGAACCAACCCAGAGTCCTCTCACTTGAGTTGTACTAACCCTGGGCTTACATTGCAATGGACACATACCCTCTTAGGCTTGAATATTAGTGGCAGATAGAGTCCAGTCCACACAGCTGTTTGCTTGCCAGCTCAGGGAACTGAATTTTCCCCCAAACCCTGTGGGAAAAGTGTGTAGAACAGGCCAGAGGTTCATTCTCTCCTAGAGAAGGAAATCTCCTCTACTCCCCCCATGCAAGGTGGCGCTCCTCTCCTTGTGTGTGGAATTGCTTAGAGGAGGTGGTAGGAGATTTCCTCACTAAGGAAATGATATGCTATTCAAAGAATTCTGCCCTCCACTTACGCTAGTGCTGAATTTGGCCTCAGTTCTTTGCTGTGGAGGTGGCATTGGGGGTGGAGGGTATATTGTACTCTACAGTTGAAACTTCCGGGCTGTCCACGTGTGTAATCAAACTCCACTGGGAACAGCATCCCAGGGAGCAGTGCAGGAGCAGTCAGGCAAAGAATTGGACAAAGGGAATGTGCTTGTGCTGATCCACTTACGCTAGTGCTGAATTTGGCCTCAGTTCTTTGCTGTGGAGGTGGCATTGGGGGTGGAGGGTATATTGTACTCTACAGTTGAAACTTCCGGGCTGTCCACGTGTGTAATCAAACTCCACTGGGAACAGCATCCCAGGGAGCAGTGCAGGAGCAGTCAGGCAAAGAATTGGACAAAGGGAATGTGCTTGTGCTGATGCTGGAAAAAGGCAAGGCACGGAGAGTAACGATTGTGACATCAACCTGCATGCTTGCGCCAACGTCCATTTTCTTCCCAGCTCCCCACCTCTTTGGGTCTGGGGACTGCTGTCCCTGTTCCTCATGGCTCTCTCTGGGTCTGGGTACCAGTGTGTCTGCTCCTTGTGGCTCCCCATCTCTGTCTGTCTCTGGATCCCACAGTCTCTGTCCCTCATGGCTCCCCAATTCACTCTCTCTGAGTTTGGTTCCTACCAGGACCGCAAACTGTTCCAGGAGGAAGGCGCCTGGGACGTGGTTGGTACCGTGGCTCAGTACTGGTGCAGCAGGGTGGTCTGGAGTCAGGAGGAGCAGCGCTACCACATCAAAGGTAAGTCCAGGAAGGACTTCACAGGAGAAAGCCCCCAGCTTTTCAGAAAAACGGATCTTTACCCAAAAAAACCTGCAGTGTAGACATACCCTGTGGGCCTCAGCCCTGGTGCTAAGGAAACCCCACTATGGCTCTGAAGGTAGGGAGGTCTCCATGTCCACAGAGTCTGTGCCCTCTCTAAGATGGGTGCCACTGACATATGCATCTCCATTAGGAGCTGCACTGAAATCACTGTTCACTTCTCCAAGGCCAGCCCCTTGCCCTCAGAGGTAACCCGGGCTACAGTACAGATCTAAGGTGCCATAGCCTCTCACCAACCCCCATAGCAAGGGCTTTAAAACAAACAGGCCAGGCCAGGCCTTGGTGTGATGTCTCCTCCCTCTTCCTGCAGGTGTCATGCCCCCAGATGAATATCACAACAGCGTCGATAACTCTGTTTACACCAATGCCGTGGCCCAGCGGAGGTAACGCGCATGATTCCTACAAGCACTGACCTGCTTTCCCAGACGCTGACCCATCTTCCCTGCTGCTTAGCAACCTGGCAGGACTGAGAAGAAAGCCCAGGCTCAGCGGCTCTCTGAAGCACGTGCCATGGGCCACGCTCTCCCGGTCTTGCACTTTCCCTTGTGGGCGACTGGCTGGGATGGCACCTTGGCTTCCAATTATTCTAATATTTCCCTCTTTAAAGCATTACAGAGCCTCTCTAAACAGTCTCTCCTTGCTCCCTCCAGCTTGAGGTTTGCAGCCGACCTGGCCCACGATTTCCAGATCCCGGTGCCGGAGGAGTGGCAGGAGGTGGCCAAGAAAATCAAAGTGCCATTTGATGCAGCCAGGAACTACCACCCAGAGTACGATGGATACAGCCCAGGTGAGGCAGAGGAACAGGAAGGGGAGGGGCTGAATCTTAGCCTTGCTGTGTCTTTTCAAGATGCTTTGCAGCACATAGTAACCTCAGATCCTGAAACCACTACATTGCTGGCCTGGTGCTTGCTCTGTTGAAGAAGTGTCTAGACCAGGGGTGGGCAAAAGGGCCTCGGCGGGCTGGATCCAGCCCACCAAGCAGGTAGATCAGGTCCGTGGAGGCCCTGCTGCACCCAGGTCAATAAGGGCCTGGAGGTAAGGTTGCCAGGTGTCCAGTTTTGAACCAGACAGTCCAATATTTGAGCTTTCTGTTAGGGAAACAAATTGAGAAAATACTGGACATATAAATGTCTGGTATTTTCTAATTAAATAAGTTTTATTATTATCACGAGTATTGGTACGTAGCTGCGTACTGCCTGGCTGGTAGACACACTCACACTGCAAGCGCACATCTACCAGCCAGGCAGTACACAGCTATGCAGTGGGGGCGGGGCCAAGGTGGGATGGAATCCCCGGGACCAGAGTCGCCCATGTGCTCTGCCAGGACCATGCACGGGACAGTCAGCACCCTGGGATCTGCGTGCGCCCAGGCCAGCCCTGCTTCCTACCAGCTTGGCCACCCCTCGCTCCTCTCGGCCAGCACTGCACCCTGCTGGCAGGGTCTCCCCCTGCTGAAGCACGGGAAATTCAAATCCCGGCTTCATTTGCAATTTCTATGTCTAATTTACATCCGTCTTTCGAAAGAGGGATGTAGTCTAGACATAGCCCTTGAGTTCAGTTGAATTTTCCTTAGGCCCATAATGAGCACATTGTTTGGCCATACACTGTTAGCTCCCATTGCCCCCCCCCGACTTCCTCCCGACCAGCCCTGCTCCCCACTGGCCAGTTCCCCCCACCCATATCCCTCACCAGCCCCGCTCCCCCCGCGGCTGGTTCCCCTCTCCCTCACCATCTAAAACCATTTGGCAACCCTACCTGGAGGCGGAGGGAGTACGGGAAGTTTCCTCTGCCCTGCTAAGATCTCCAGACAGAGCTGGAGGAGGCTTCACCCGCTTCCCCGCCCACAGGCCAATCATGGCCTGAAGGCAGGGGAGCACATGAAGCCTCCTCCCGCCCTGCCAGGAGTGCATGGTGCTTTTAAGTGACAGGCAGGGCGGGGACAGAGCAAAGGAAACTTTGCATGCTCCTCTGCCCCCAGGCCCTGATTGGCCTGGGGGCGGGGGAGCGTGGGAAGTCTGCTCCCAGCCCCAGGCATGGGCACCTAGAGGGAAGGGGGCAGCGGGTGGGCAAAGGCTTTCCCCTACCCCCAGACCAATCATGGTCTGGGGGTGGGGAACCAGGAAGTATCCCTGCTCCTTCCGGTCGAGGTCCCGCCCCTTCCAGTGCAGCCCCCTTCAGAAATGTTTTAAGTGGCCCCCAGCAAAAAATTATTGCCCGCACCTAGTCTAGACAGTTGAGGTCTGTGTGCTGGTAGGTCACCTAACTCAAGTTCTTAGTGTAGAAAGTGCAGCTAGTGAGCTGTTCTCTCCACCGGATGGGGTGATTCATTCTCATCTCTGGGTTACTATCAGGCGTGAAAGGGTTAGATTTGTATTGGTAAATGTCCATTTCACTAAGTCCACACACAGAGGGATGGGAAAATATTTCCAGTGATAATAACTGAATGTTATTAATCGGCAAAATAAGAAACATGTTGCTTGGGAGTTTCTTAGAACTGGATTTCAGGCTAATTCCTTTGTCTAGTTTGACATGCGATGCTGACAATCTGCGTTTTAATGGCCATAACACTTTGCCTCACGGAATCTCAACATCTACTGTTATTAAATAATTATTGTCCAACCTCCTCCCACAGAATTTCCCATCACGGCGAACACTGAAATGAATAACAATCTTTTTAAAAATTGCTTAACATTAATTATCAAAAGCGACGAGGAGTCCTGTGGCACCTTATAGACTAACTGAAGTGTAGGAGCATAAGCTTTCGTGGGCAAAGACCCACTTCGTCAGATTAATTATCAAAACTATAAAACCAAAAACTGAGTTCTGCCACACTCAGTTATTAGTCAAGAAGTTGGCCTGTGGCAAGCTTTTCTTTGCCAGGGATAGGTCCCTTGTGCCTGGGGAATTTGCCTTTTTCTTAGCTGCAAGGGGCATGGTATCTATTCGAGTGCCATGTCTGGACATTGAAGCAACATTGGCAGGGCTGAGCTCCACCGTGAGGCCTGCAGATCCCTGGCTCTGTGCATGCAAAAGAGAGACCTGAGCACTGAATCGTTAGCTCAAGTAAAAGCGGCATTGCTAGGAGAGCGCCCACTTGTCCATAAATACAGGGCTGTGTGGCTGTATGTCTGTGAGCCACGCTATTGTGCCTGGCTTTAAAAAGACACTGTGCATGCTTACCACAATGTTAAAACCGCACCTTGTGGGGGACATTCTGGCCTTGCACCAGCTACCAGGTCAGCTGTCAGCTAGGACCACATCAATGAAAATCTTCCTAAACAAATTTGAAATGTCTCTAACTTCCAGCTGGGCAGACCTGAGCCATCTGATCTCCAGTGTCCCTGCCCCACCGTCTCTAGGCTTGCTTTACACTCCAGGGACAGCTTTGCTCTGTTTCCATTGGGTCTCAGTGTGCAATATTTCATTAAATAATGTATTAGTAGACCAATCATCTCTCAACCTGCCAGCCCTGCATACTTCCCCTGGGATCTGAGCTTCAAGCTAGGCCCATCACCTCTCATTCCGAGTTCCCATAGGTGTGGTGCCCTTCTCTCCATCCCTTTCCCAGGTAAGCCCGTGAAACAAGCAGATGTCGTCTTGCTCGGATACCCAGTGATGTATCCCATGAGCACTGAAGTCCGAAAGAACGACTTGGAGACATATGAGCCCGTCACTGCGCGGGATGGGCCAGCCATGACCTGGGTAAGCCTCTAAGCCGAGTGGAAGCCAGAGGGTTTCCATGTGAAAGGCTAGAGCCTCGTGCAGAAGTAGGCTCCTCACAGCGCACCAAGAGGCCCATCTGGTTCTCTTCCCTGCAGAGCATGTTTGCCATTGGCTGGATGGAACTGAAGGAGATCCAAAGGGCACAGAGTCAACTGAACAAGTGTTTCAACAACATCACCGAGCCATTCAAGGTCAGGCAGGTGCTCCCTGACACTGCTGATAGACTCCCCCTTCCTTCTGCCTGGGCAGGTCGTAATGGCTGATCCCAAGTGATGCTGTCACATGCCACTCAGACTGGCCCCTACATTAATTGTATTATCAATCCCAGCACCCTCTTCTGTTTTTATTGGGCTCAGTATTGCTTTCTGGGTGTCAGTAAGCCCCCACTTGCTGTGTGTGGAGGAGCAATAGAGACATTGCACTACCTCCCCTCTTGCTCTCACCAGGAGAGGCAGAGCTAAAGTGCAGGCCTCAGACCCAGCCCAGAGTCCCGCTCCTTGTTATGGGTCAGGGAAATGGGACTAGCAGCATCCTGCCCTCTTCTCCCTCCCAACTCCTCACATCAAGGGTGGGCCACAGAGCCCAGTGGCTCCTCGGTGCCAGGAAAGGGGCCCCTCCCAGCTCCCAATTCTCCTGTTTTGGTGATGAGCAGATCTCACCTCCCCTGGCTCCCTTTCTCCTGCCGATGGGCAGCAGAGCAGGAAAGACCCAAAAATGGCTCCCCTTTTCCTGAGGGTGGGGCAATAGGGCCATGGGGGAAGAATGCCTCATACCCACCTCTTCCTCTGTGGCAGGAGTGGGGGCAGTTCTCTGGACTCACAGGGGACCCAGACAAGTGAAGATGATAATTAGCACTTTCCAATGGCCTGTAACGTTATGAAGCGTAGCTAGTAAATCCTGATCCTGCCTAGACTGTTTCTCTCTCACTTGTTAGTGTAGATCTGGGCGGAGAACTCGGACGGGTCAGGAGCTGTGAATTTCCTGACAGGCATGGGGGGATTCCTGCAGGCCATCCTCTTTGGCTACACAGGGTTCAGGTGAGAGCATGACGGCAACTCTTTTAATCTCTTGACAACCAGGAGGGAAGGTCTCTAAGAACCTTTTTGTTAGCTGGGGCTTAAAGTCTTTCCAGTCTACGGCAGCATCTCTGAAGGGAAGATGCTGTCCCACCCACATCCTCCGACACCTCGCTGCAGGTTACAGACAAAGAGCAAAGCTCACACTCCCCTAGGAGTCCCAGCTGGTAACTAGTGAATTGCAGAGAACAGGGTGGAAATTCCATAAGCACTGTCCAAACTTTGCCCCCATTGATGTCAATGGTTGACCTGACCCTGTTCCTATTGACTTTGCCCCCATTTATGTCAATAGGAACAGGGTCAGGTCATCACTGAGTCCTTCTGAAAATCCTACTCCACATCTCCAATGGAGATTCAAACCTCACTATGGTCTAAGGTCCCATAACATTTCCTAGGGTACCAGGCCTATGCTAAGCTCTTCACTTGTTGGTAGAGCATCCCTGATGCAACGAGTTACCCATCGCCCCCAAACTCTTCCTGGAGAGAGGGGTTTACAGAAAGGGAACTGATTTGCCCTCTGTTGAGGTTATTAGATTCACAGAGAGAGCCCCTCCCCTGTCTGAGGAGCTGGTTTGCTGCAGTAGAAGCCCAGGTGGAGGTAATGGGAGACTCTTGGCATGCTCAAGCCAGCAGCAATGTTCCCTCTAATTTTTCCCCATCTGTGTGTGTGTAATAAATTTTGTTATGTGCACCAAGGCATGTGTAGATGTGCACCACCCATAGAAACACAGGCTGGCAGCTGTGGGCGCTCTGCTAATCAGCAGGGCAGCACTTGATTTTCTCCTGAGCAGCCTCTCAAGTGCTCAGCTTACTGGGAACGCGGGCCAGCAGCTGTGCTGTGTTCTAACAGGGCTGCTCTGGGAGATGCTCAGGTTCTCATCACTGGTATTTCCTCGAATCCTGTTGTCGCTCCCAGCTCCAAGGGATGTGTTGGCAGACTCACTGACAGGCTAAGACTAGCCAGTGCCGCCTCCCTCGTGCATGGAATTCACTACGGTGGCCCCTGACTCCCCTCTGCCTTTGCTAGGATCACCAAGGGCAGCCTGAACTTCGACCCGATATGCCCTGCCAACATTCGAAAGCTCAAGATCACGGGGGTCTCGTACCTGGGGAGCAAGCTGAACTTCACGCTGACCGAAGAGACCGTTAGGGTCAAGGTGACAAAGTCCTCAGGTGACCCCCGTCTGTCCCCACTGGAGGCCGTGCTGGGAGCATCGGGGCAGCACATCCCTTTGCCGGAAGGTACAGTGTCGCCCAGCCACACTCCTGCTGTGCATTTCTGATCTGCGGCGCAGTGCACGCTCTGCAGGGAAGGGGTAGGGGTGGCAAGGTCTCTGGGTCCCGCAAGCCTACACCCTTCCCAGAGCCGCTTCTGCAGGCAGGGCTGGCTTCACAGGTGGGTGCCATGAACTACCCGCCCAGGATGCCGTGATCGGGAGGGTGCTGGAGTCAAGAAGCAGGGTGGGCCTCAGGTGTAAGCCCACAGAAGGGAGCTCTGAGCAATGTGGGGGTGGAGCGGGGTGCAGCAATGCTGGAGGGGACTGTCAAGCAGTGGGGGCGAGGAATGGCAGGCACTCCAAAATAGAAGTTTGCTTATGGCGCTACTGTCCCTAGGGCCAGCCCTGCCCTCTGGGAAAAGCTGTGGTTGCCATAGTGCAGGCTACTCCATACCCACTCCTAGGCCACGGCTTACAGCACCACCTGCTGGCAGAGGCAGGCACTGGAGAAGCTATTGGGAGCTAACGGCCAAGACTTTTATTCCACCCTCCACAGCCTGACCTGCTGTGATCTGGGCGGGGGGAGGGTAACTCCCTGGCTGCAATTCCCACTCTGAAGCTGCCTGAGGACAGCCTGGCCCTGGATGATACCTAACACAGGAGGCCAAGGGTACATCTAGACTGCACGGCTATTTCGGTATACCGGAGGTCGAAGGAACACGGCCACAATCTTGAAATAATTTTTGAAATAACAGACGCGCTATTTCAGCATCCCTGTAAGCCTCATTTCACGAGCAATCAGGGATGTTTTGAAATAGCGCTTTATTTTGAAATTTGGTGCCGTGTAGACGCGCCACATCTCAAATAGCCTATTTCAAAATAAGATGCAATTTGCATATATCTTATTTCGATTTTAGAGCACAATCTAGACATACCCCATGAGAAATAACCAAACAGGGTGCTCAGAACAAAGGTTCTTCTTACAACTCCTGGATTTGTTTCCATTGCAGGGCAGAGCATCTCCTTCGCCACAACTGCTGGCCGGATCCAGAGGGCATCTGCTGAGCCACATTAAGCCCCAGATACTGAATTTGTCAGAGAAAGCAAGTATTTAAAGTCATCAAAGCTATTCAAACGTGGCAAGGATCCAGAGTCCTACGGCAGTGTTCTAGCTAAGGGATTCCCTCCATGAGCAGAGTGACTTTTGCCCTGTGCACCAATATGAGGTCATGTGCGTGGGTGCGGAAGCATGCCATCACAGCACTCACCACTTACAAAATTCCTGGATATATATTTTAAAAAAATCTTCAGAGGGGGAGCTGAGTTAGTCTCTAACAGGAAAAATTTAAACAAATAGTCTTTAAGGTGCTACTAAGCTAACAAAACATGTAGATGGTATCATGAGCTTTCATGGGCATAACCCACTTCTGTCATCTGAAGAAGTGGGTTGTGCCCACGAAAGGTCATGATGCCATCTACATGTTTTGTTAGTCTTTAAGGTGCTACTAGACTATTCGCTTTTTATTTTTTTTAATGTTATGAAAGAATACTGAAGCAAGAGTTCATTAATAAAGGTACATGACTTTATATGTTTATTTAATATGAAATCAAAAAACACTTCAAAATGGTCAGTAGCCATTTGGTACCTTTTAAATAAAGATGTCTGCTCTTGTTGTCTTTGCCAGGGAAATAGAGTTGAAGGCACTGGGATCTGAGCTGTCAAGGACTAAGTTGGAATGTTGGGACAGATGTTTTAAATTGTTTTCAGCTACTGGCTAAATGGTATTTAATGAGTTCACTTCTGAACATTTTTTGTGCATGTATTGTTCCTTGTTACCCAGGAAACAGGTAAACAGAACTGAAATTTATATAAATAAATGTCTATCAGGGATGGTCTAGACAGTATTTGGTCCTGCTATGAGGACAGGGGACTGGACTCGATGACCTCTCGAGGTCCCTTCCAGTCCTAGTATTCTATCTATATAAATAAATCCTCTCAAATCTTTCAGACAGACAATTTGCTTTGCCATTCATCAAAGCTGGCATAATTCACGAATTCCTTCTGAAGATTTTAGTTTTTATATGTTTATATGTTTACTATTATTATTTCTGCATCTTAGCAAGGTCCAAACAACATGGGTGGACAGCAAGTTTCAGCATTTTAGCATCATATTAGTGCAGTCTTATTCTCAGATCTCGTTGTGCTGTTTTATGGGTGCTTTGCATCAGAAAGGGAAGCCTGGAGACATTTTAAGCCGTCTTATTTCCTACCACAGACACATGGTAGAGTCAGAAATTTTCAACTATAAACTGTCACCCAATGAATCAGAGGCAGGGCAGTAGCAGCTGGACATGGGCTGATTTACACTGAAGTAAGACACAGGCAAGACAATAGCCTCTCTATTTAACAACTCAAGCTAGTAACACACCAAAGTGCAGCATATTGAAAACAGCTCTATATTATAAAAAAAACAACAACAACAAAAACCACAACCCCACATGCATGGCCATTAAGTGAAACCATTAAAAATATTCATCAGAATCCCAATTTAATAACCTGCTCCAGGCCTGGCCTTAGGGCAAGACGAGGAAGGCAGTTACCTTGGGCCCAGTGCCTTTAGGGCCTCACTTGCTGCCTTGGTGGCGTGCTGTGCCATGCAGCTCCCAGCCTTGGGCCCCACAATATTTGGCCAGGCCTGACCTACTCCCATAGGCACTAAAGTCTTAGGGAAGGCTACTCAAAAATTAATGCATCTTCCAAAACACTATCATGCTGTGGAATTTTGCAGTTCACAAAACTAAACCTCCATTATCTGCACATAACTGCTTTAAGATGCTGAACAAATTTACGTCACAGACAGCAAACAAAACTGACAACGTGGAAAATACACAGGGAAGTAAAACTTTGAGCGGTTGGTTGTTATTGTGGGTATGTTAAAAATAATATTTGTTTCTGTACAAGTGCAACAGAGCCCCATCAGCCCTCCTAGATTTTCACATTATAATTTGGGTTGTTTCACCAACTCAAACCAAGTAGGAGCTAGGAGACTCATTCCATTTTTACAAAGGCAGGCCGTAAGTAAATAGGGCACATTAACACTGTGGCTTCAGAGTTCTCCCAGACCCCTGCTTCAAAGAACTTGCAAATAAACTTTTCCTTCCACAGAACAGCTAGCTTCAAATGGGACATTACACATTGGAAAAATAAAAAAAGTCATTGGGAGTCCTAAGTCAGAACTGTACTAGATAGCAAAGATCTTCAAGCCTCAATAGTTTTCAATACCTCTCCCCAAACAAACTCTGAAAATTAATGGAAATCACTTGTCTGGAAGCAACCTGGCCACCCCCAGCCCAGAGCTACGGCTGGGACATTACAGGTTGGAAAATACATGCATAATATGCAAGACAAATGTTCTCAGACAAAATTAAACCAAAACTTAAGCAACTGGTGGAGGCAAGGTTAATTTTAGGAACTAAATTGATCAGACTTTAGCAAACTCAGAATTGGTAGGTAAGGTCCAATGGAAAACAAGGCTACAGAAAGAGACAGTTCAGGACACTTAGCAATTTTCTAAAAGATGCATTAAGAGTCTCAAGAGTAAACTATCCCACGGTATAGGAAAGATAAGATACCCACCTGATGTAACCAGATCTTCAGTGACCAGAAACTCCAAAAAGAATCCTATTTAAATAAAAAAAAAACCCTAGATCAAATTACAAAGGACAAATATTTAAAAACCGAGACACAAGCATGTAGGAACAAAATAAAAAAGGCCAGGACACAAAAGGAAATTAAGCTAGAGACATAAAGAGTAACAAGGAAGTATTTTACAAATATGTTAGAATCCAGTAGATGCCCAGGGTAGGCCTGTAACAGGGTGACACCTCCCACAAGCATCACCATTTAGCAGAGTGCAGGTTCCTGGACTCTGTCCATCTTAAAAGCCTTGCAGCTACTCTGTCTTCCAGCCAAGTGACACAGAGACAGCCCCACACAGGAGTCATCACAAATTGAGGCCCATCCCCAGTGCCTACTGTAGAGTGTCTCCGTTCAATTCTGTTCCTTCAGTTTTTTGCCTCACTCTGAGCCAAAGTGGTGCCTCCGGGGCTTTCCTTCCCAGAGACAACTCCTTTGGCCTTAGCTCAGGGTTTTATCTTCAAGTCCATCAGTCTCTCAGCACCTCTCCACTGGGAGCTGTCCCTGGTTCTGCCAGCCAACCACGAGCCAAAGTGGTGCCTCCGGGGCTTTCCTTCCCAGAGACAACTCCTTTGGCCTTAGCTCAGGGTTTTATCTTCAAGTCCATCAGTCTCTCAGCACCTCACACCTGACTTTCTCCCTTCCAGATCCAAGCTGCAATTGAACTACCTCTAGTCCTGCAGCTCCTTTTGTAGTCCCTCCAGGCTCCTGATTGGCTGGTTTCCTCCTAGCCACTCTACCTGGAGGATTTCTCCATGGCCCTCTTGGCCTTCGGGTCTAGCCCCGTTATAAGGCCCTTTATTACTCAATGAAAAGGGAAATACAATAGTAAAAAATGCAGAACTAACCCAAGTGTTAAACACTTTCTGAGTTTCATTTTTCACCAAGAAGATTAGCAGTGTTTAGACAGTGAACATCAGTATAAAGATAGCATGGTCTGAAGCTAAAACATGAAGGCTACGTCTAGACCGGCATGATTTTCCGCAAATGCTTTTAACGGAAAAGTTTTCCGTTAAAAGCATTTGCAGAAAAGAGCGTCTAGATTGGCACGGACGCTTTTCCACAAAAGCACTTTTTGTGGAAAAGTGTCCGTGCCAATCTAGATGCAGTTTTGCACAAGAAAGCCCCAATCGCCATTTTCGCAATTGGGGCTTTTTTGCGCAAAACAATATCGTGTTGTCTACACTGGCCCTCTTGCGCAAAAGCATTTGTGCAAGAGGGCTTTTGCCCAAACGGGAGCAGCATAGCATTTCCGCAAGAAGCACTGATTTCAGACAGTAGGAAGTCAGTGTTCTTGCAGAAATTTAAGCGGCCAGTGTAGACAGCTGGCAAGTTTTTCCGCAAAAGCAGCTGCTTTTGCAGAAAAACTTGCCAGTCTAGACGCAGCCAAAAAGAACAAGGTAAGAATTACTTAAATGATTTAGATGTCTTTGAGTCAGTAGGGCCTGGTGAAATACATCCTAGAGTGCTTAAGGACTTAGCTAAAAAGATCTCTGACCCCTTTATCTTTGAGAACTCGTGGAGGTTGGCAGAGACCTCAGTGGACTGGAAAAGGGCATGTAAAGTATGTATCTAAAAATATGAATAAGGACAACTCAGGGAATTATAGACCAATTAGCTTAATTAATAGAGTAAACAATCAAATGATCAAAAGTGCTGCAAGACTATTAGTTGTTTTTTAAATTTCTGCGGCTTGTGTTCTCCTGGCCAGCAATGAGTCCTCTACTCTAGGGCCCTACTCTAGACACTAGGGCCCAGACCCCTAAAGATATTGAGGGTCATAATTTAATAAGGATCTAGGCATAGGCCTTCCTAGACCCAGAGCGGAGGGTCACTGAGAAGGCATAGGATGCCCCCCCAAAGGCATGAGGAAGTTTTGCTCTCTATGACATGGCAGGCTCTTCTCCAGAGACAGCAAGGCTATGTCTACTCTGCAGGCTTCTTGCGCAAGAACGGCTGTTCTCGTGCAAAAACTTGCGGAGCATCCACACTACAAGCCCATTCTTGCACAAGAAAGTTTACAGTAGATTACCAGAAGAGAGGGCTTTTTGCACAAGAGTTATTCCTCTTCCCATGAGAAATAAGCCTTTTTGAGGAAGAGTTCTTGCACAAGAAGGGTAGTGTGGACGGGAACAGGGGTTTCTTGTGCAAGAAATCCCTATGGCTAAAATGGCAATCAAATCTTTCTTGCACAAGAAAGCATCCACACTGCCATGGATGCTCTTGTGCAAAAGCACATCTCTTGCGCAAAAGCACAAGGCAGTGTGGATGCACTCTTGCACATGAACTTTTGTGCAAGAACTCTTGCACAAAAAGTCTGCAGTGTAGACATAGCCCAAGTGTTTTGAAAGGCCTCAGAGAGGCCTTGTGTCTTCCCCCTGTTAGTCTTAGAAACCTTATAAAATGGTCACCATAAACACAGATGAGGAACAGAATTCACTTGAGATCCATCAAGGGCAATAAAAAAAAGGAATAAGAAAAGCATCTGAGAAAGGAACTGAAATTACAGTGTGTACGAACATGTGCATAGATGGGTGGGTATGAGAGAAAGGGGACCACAGCCACAGGAATCCTATGAAATTTAACAGCAATTCCTGACACACACACCCTGTGGTTGGAAGGAGTAATAATAATACCCAGGGAATTCCTTGGTCCCAGGCAGGCAGAGGCCACCTCTTACTGGCAGGAGAGGACTTCTTGTCAGGCTAGAGCAAACTCCTTCCAGCAATGCACAGTGTTGCAGACTCCTGGGAGAGCTTTGAGACCAGGCAGAGCAAAGAGGAGGAAATGAGGACCCCTTCGAGAGTACACAGAATCACTGTGCCCTGGAACCCCCCTCCCCAAAAAAAAGGGGGTCACCATGCCTAGGACATGTTGTCACAGCTGGCTACTCAGCAATACTGCTCAACCCTGCTACTCTCAGTATGAAGGTTTGCTGCTAAGAAGTTTGGCAGCTGTAGAGAGCCTCCTGCTTCCTTTTAGCCTTGCCTGCTCCAGCTAATGCCTGATCAAATGCACCTGGTCAGTAAGGCCCCCCCCCTCTAATTTTCTCCCAGCATGCTCTCTGATTTTGCTTTCCACTCCAAAGCAGCTCCCCCTCCCTCACCCTGCAGAGTAGCTTGAGAAAACAGTGCCCTACACCTTGGGTAAGCACCATCCTCACCGTGGCCTTTTGTGGCCACTTACCAGGGCAAACCAGACCAGTTTACGCCCACTGTGAATGGTGACTATGTAAGGCACAGGGCAACAAGGAATCAGGCCCCCTGTCCTGTGGATTAATCTGAGCCATGTTAAGCGTTTACCCTTCCCTCGTCCTCCCCTGAAGCCAGCCTTGCTCCAGAGACTGACCAAATTCTGCTCCCCAGTGTGAATCCACAGCACCCTCATTCAAAGCCCTGTGAGCTGCAGACACTGTTTGTGGTCGAGCTGAGCATGCCCCGTTGTCTTCAGCAGAGCACAGGGCTTGTGGGAAGCCCCCCCAATTCAAGACTGATGCAGGGATTGCCTGCTGGCTCCTCTACCACCTGGATCCCTGCATCCTAAAGCACAGCTCCCCTTCCAGCTATGTCGCTACATGCAACTGGGAGCAACATTTATTGTTACTTCTGTCCCCCCCCCCTTTTCTTCCTCATTCCATTTCAAACCAGAGCTTTTTAAAGCCACTCCCTATTTTGGCGAGATGCCATTCCATGTAAACATAACCCAGAAGCCTCAAAGTTTATAAAAAGCCCCAGTGCCCCACTGTACATAGACAGCATGTGGCAATGCTTAAGGAGAGAGAAAATAAGAGCAACTGCCTTGTAATTAGGCTGGCTGTAAATCGGGTCCTGGCAAGAGCAGCAGCCACTAATCACCACTGGGCCGCTAGGCAGGGTGGGGTGGGAAGGCAGCAGCTCCCCTGATAACAGCCCTGAGGGCCTTGGGGCTTCAGGTCCTGCTTAGACCCTGGAGGAAAGTATTTGAGAAGGAATTAAAATAACCTGCTTTAGGCAGTCCTTGGGGAAGGAGCAGCAGAGGCAGGGTGGGGCTCCCCTCCTCAGAGAGCCAGGGATGTAGAGCCCCTCTGCCAGCTGACTTCACGGGGGCCCTGGGATCACCGATCGGCCCCCCGGCTAGAGCCCAGGGCTATTTCCCGTCAGGACAGCTTTTGCATGGCTCCTGCTGGGATGGCCAATGTCTGAGAGCTGCTGGTATAACCACACACCTAGCGGGTGTGGTTCACTGTCCCACGTAGGGGCACTTACAGTGAGAGATAAGAACAAGGGAGCTCTACAGCTTGTGCTGAGAGCCAGCTGGCTTTGTAACTCAAGCTGTAGCGGCTCCCACACTAGGCTCCACAGGGCGCAGGTTTGAATCAGCCTGGTGGTGGTTACATTGACACGGGTCCATTTGGCATCTCAGTGGCGTTCAGACCAGCTCCTGTCCCCCTTCCTCACACAGAGCAGGAATCAGGAAGGCCCCTCGCAGTGGAAGGTAACACTCAGTGTGCTGTGTAATGGCTGCCGGTGTGCACAGATCGGGCCATTGGGACCAGGGCCATCCGAGTTCTCTGCCCACCCCCAGGATGGCCTGAGTTCACTGGGGCATCTGAACATACACAACACAGGCACATCCGTTCATTGGCATCCCTGCTAGCCCTGGGACACTGCAGGGACCTCCTGAGAAGCAAAACAGACCAGCCTAAGTTATTTACAGAATATCACAGTGTCTCCACCCTAGGAGACCACGGGAGGCAGAAGCCCAGCTAGATTAGAGGCAGGTTAATTGGTGGCCTGACCAGAACAAATAAACTCTGGACGAAGATGAGTGGTGAGCCAATCAAGGCTCCAGTGAAAGGCCTGAGAGCAGCTGATTCTCACCATTGGACACCTCCAGAATGCCTTGCACGTCACAGGTATTGGGTATTGGGTCTGGATAGCAGCCAATCAGAGCTCTGCTGCCCTGAGTCTGGCAGCCAAGGAGATTGTTTGTTTGGCAGGAACGGTGCACCCATTGGCATCAAAAGCCACAATATTGGGCTGATAATGATAGGCTACAGATCTTCTCAGTCTCCACAGCTTTGACATGTCATGCTGCCCTGAGCCGAACAGCCAAATGCAGCAAGAGGAGCATGAAAAGCAGCTGCAAACATCTGTGGGAAAACCCCACAGTTACAGTATTCTGTTCAGCTAAAATATACCCAATGTACCGCATGAGCAAGGAGGAGGGATGAGCTGAGCAAATGTGACTAAAGATTCAAGTTTCTTTAGGGCATCTGGGGGATATTTCATATTTGACAGGCCAGGAAATGCAGAATAGTAAATTGCTCCCTGAGATCCCCATCCTGGCTTTCCGAAGTGATGGGCAAACTTCCAAAGGGGCAGAGGGACTATTCAGTGAGCATCATGCCCTCTGGGTGCTTAACTTTGCCTTGGCCTGGGGAGATGGACTGGATTCCCTCTTCTACCTTCCATGTCTATTATTCTCTCAACCTCCCCACAATTCTCCAAAGGGGCTGCACGGTCAGGTGGGACATTTTACAAAGATGGGCAGATTTCCATTGCTTTACACTTCTACTCCTGCCAAAAACCCAGCCACGCAGCCTTCCCTGGGGTTATACGGCTCTTCCATCTCACTCCTGAATGGAATCAAGGCAGGCAAAAATGGAGGGGGAAAAAAACCCCATGAAAGCAGAGGTTGGGCCATTTTCAAACTTGAAAAAAGTTTTAGGTGAAGGTGCAGGTTGGTTCTTCATTGACTAGACCCAGAGCACCCATCCCTTTGGGAATTTTAAGGATGATGAATTTGTAGGTCGCAGCCCAATTCATATCAGGTAACATCTCACAACTCCAAACTACCAGCTAGGGGGGTTGGTCCCTTGACAGGGATAGGTATTTGGATTTGAACACCCAGATGAATTTTTTTTTCTTCTTACCCTCCCCTCTCTCTCTCTCTCTCACACACACACACACACACACACTTGTGCATGCTCCCTATATTCACTAGCCTCCCAGATCTAGTCCTGACAAGTACATTGTAATTCAGGCTGCAAGAGTGCACAAGGGTGGCAGGTCTGAATTAAGGCATAGGTTCTACAGGCCCATGTTTAGACCCTCAAGCTCTTGGGATACATGATCACAACAGAAGCTGACATTTCATTTAGAGCCATCAGTTTCTGGCCCTTCTTATGGTGAAATGTGAACCCAAGAACTGAGTAACTCTGCCACATTACCATTAGCCATGAGAAACTGTCACACACAAAGAGACTTGTGAGTTGTGAAGTTATTTAATCACTTAAATAGTAACAACCAAGGATAGACTGAGGGTGCAGCCGGCATGAGACACAGTAACAAAAGAGGAGGGTTCCCAGGGAAGTCCGTAGCGCGGGTCAAGAGCCCAGGAGAAGCAAAGACTAAAGGAGGATAAAAGGAGGAGAGGAACCACAGTGCACAGACTCAGCTGTTTTGGAACAAGCTTGGGCGGGAGTCCATGCAACCTACCACCCTGCAGTAGGAACTATTTTCACCCCAACTGTGAAATGAGTTCCAGGGCCCATGAATACCTCAGTGGTGCTCTGGTGAGCGTGAGGCATTGGTTGCTCTGGGTTACAACAACAGAGGCTGCAATGTGCAGTGCTTTGGTTTGCTGGATTATACTCGATTCGTTTTAGGAAGCTGCCGGAGAGGCCTGGGTGTGTTTCCAGGAGCCCCTGGGTCACTTCCTGTCGTCTTCATAAGCAAAGATCTTGTAGTTGAAGAAGTCCATGGACTCCTGAGCGAGCTTGGAGAGATGGATCACGCCTGTGATCGCCAGGGCGAGGAGCAGCAGCGGCAGCAGCAGGCTCCAGACTGTCGCCAGGATGTTGCAGCATTTGGCTCTGGAGCTGAAGTAGCGAGCAGTCTCGACGTCACCAGTCACCTTCCGGTCCCGCGCCTGCAAGAGCCAAGCCAGGATGGGGGCACCGAGTTAGAGACAGGGCCGGGGAGGCAAAGGACGAGGCACGGCCCTATGAGCAACAGAACTGGCTGCAACCACCGAGTGCCACTCTCAGCACCTGCCTGTCACTCACCTCGCTTCCGTCTGGCTCTGTAGCTGGCTGTTCTCTCCCTGCTCCACCCTCTCTGAACTTCTGTCAGGCTAATCCCGTGAGTCCAAGCAAAGAACTGACCCCTTCTTCTGGCACCCTCACTGTGCATGCCACAGCAAAGCAGCGTCACCCACTTACCCCACATGCCAGCTCTGAATTAAGTCTCAGTGGGTGGCACCCAGCCAGGGGCCACGAGAGAGGACTGTGGCTGTAAAAGTCACAAGGGACTGCTGTCAATTAAACTCCTTCCCATCCCGCTGTAATTTACACCTTCCATCACTCCTGAGTGTGTGAGCACCTGGAAATCCAACATACAGCAGCTTTGAGCCTAGCCCGTTGTCGACCCCAGCTCTGTCTCCCTCACATAGCTCACCGGCTTCCCTTTGCTATTGGCATCTGTTAGCAAATCAAATCCAAGGAGCAGCAGCTGCTCTGACCCTGTATGAATGATCCACAGCAGAGACATCTGGGATCAGAGAGTTTACCTCAGACCTCTCCTTCCCACCCCACCCTCTCCGAAGTGCTTCTTGCTGAACTTTATTAAATCCATTCCCAGCATTTTAGGATATCCTCCTCCCCCATTCCTGAACAGAGCAGATTCCCAGCTACAAGGTGTGGGAGATGCCGGAGTCTCTCCATATGGAGCGTGGTCCCCAAGCATCATCTGGAGCAGAGAAGTCAGTCCCCAGAACCTCACCCACATACTGACGGTGTGAAGTAGGGGGTAACAGGAAAATGCAATTGCCAGGAAAGCTCACAGCTTCCCTGCTGTGTGGGAAGCTAGCTGGGGATATAGAAGACACAAGTCAGCCTCAGGCAGCAGCAGGATGAGGTGCTAAAGGATGCTGCCCCAGCACAGGGTGCTGACATAATTCCTGGTGCTCTTTACACAAACGCTGCAATCAGCTTTTCTGCTCTTTCAGGCACAGCCACCGAAACAGGAGCCTCAGGCAGCCTGCCTGGGAACAGCCAGTATTTTACACTGTAGTTCTCATTGTTCGAGGGAGAATTCCAGCTAGTGAGCAGCACGGGGCCAGTTTCCTCAGACAGGACAGTGCCAGGCAAGGCAAGAGTTAAAGTTGAGGCAAACTGCAGCCAACTGCCAATAACAACTTTCTACTTTTCAACTTTCTACTGTGTCATGACATTCTTCCGGCAGCCCTGAGATTTTCCCCACCCCTTCCTGATTCGAGGGTGTATTGCACCTCCAAGCACACAGAGAGACCCCAGAATAGCTAGGTAACCTGGGTGAAGTCTATAATTCCTGGCTATCAGAGTCCCTGGGAAATCCTAGCCTCTCCAGATTAACCCAAGAGAATTGGAGTGTATCGTTCCTACCAGAGACCCCCAGGAAGGAGTCTCCAATTTAGGGATGTGAAGGGGTAACCGGTTACCCAGTTAGCAATACCCTCAATGTGTGATGCTTATCGGATAATGGTTAACTGTTATCCAGGAACAGCCTGCTGTGGGCAGACGGCTGTTCCAGCCCCACAAGTGAGCTAGGAGTCAGTAGCCTCACATGAGGGGTTGACGGGAGCAGAAGCAGCAGCAGCGGGGGGAGGGAGGGAGGGAGCAGGCTGGGAGTCAGCAGCCTTGCAAGGGGCCAGATGTGGCAGCCCTCCTCTCTCACCCCCAGTTGCTGCTACTGCCCCCTCTCCCCTGCATGAGGCTGCTGGAGCCCCCCAGGGCTGCGGGGGTGCTCCAGCCAGGTCATGGCTGGTGTGGAGGGGGCTGCCCAATCAGTTAACTGGTTAAACTTAACATTTGACCAGTTAACTAATTACATGGGATTTTACATCCCTAGTCTCCATGTAAAAGTAGATGCACTGAGGTGCAGCCTTCCCAGCAGAGTCCCCTAGGAAAACCTGCAATCTCCACATGCCTGGGAGAGACAGACACCGAAGGTCCATTTCTGCACCAAGGCTTGTGTAAAAGAAGCAGAGGAGACCCGGGCTGTCTTACCTTGACGGAGTAGGCAAGAGCCACAAGGCCAAAACAACAGAGGTTCATGTAGATGGTGTTGAAGATGGACCAGATCAGGTGGTCCCGGGGCACTACAGAGGGGCCGATGGTGATGGCAGTGGAAGAAGGATCCTGCTTGCGAGACGTCATGGGCAGAAAGTCCTCACGAGGGTAAGACGTGTCCATGGTCCTGGAAGGGGAAATCCTCAGCTCTCCTGCACTATCAGCCTTTAAGGGAAGCCAGGGCAGGGCAAGCCCTTTTTATAGTGTCTCCCTGAGGCCCAGCTCCGTCTCTCTCTATATATAAAACAGGGAAATTACAGCCCTTGCCTGGCTGTGGTTCTCAGAAATGGTGGGTGAGAACTGAGAGGCGCATACTTGGGTTTGTAAGCCTGCCCTCCCCCGTGGATGGGGCGCTTTTTATAGCCTTGAGGGCTCAGGCCTCCCTCCCTCCCTGCAGCTTGAGGCACCAAGTCCAGGACCTGGCTTTGAACGGATGTGCTGCAGATGCTGCAAAGAGCCAGGGGCCACACGGGACTGGGTGCATGGCCGTACCGTGCTATAACCCATCAGGGACAAAGCGGGAAGCAGGAGGCAATGTAAGCTCTCCCCTGTGCACTGACAGAACTCTTCCTTCTCAAGCATAAAAGGTCAATAACTCCCCGCCTCTGTATGTTTTTCTGTGATGCACATTGCCTTTGCTATATAGTCTAAAATGTACCATTCATGCCCATCTGCAGCTCTGAGATGTGAGGTGGGGCTAGGAGATTCACAAATGAAGCACCTGAGAAGGGCACAGCACTTTGAAATGGAGAGCTGTGGCTAGGGAGGAGCTGAAACAGAGCCAGCTTTGCAAACCCTGGCATGGATCCTCACAAGTATTTAGATATGAGATCTAAGGGCAACTGACACGGCCTATGTGGCACTGAGAGTAACCTGAATATTGCTGAAACAAAAAACAGGACTATGTAGCACTTTAAAGACTAACAAGATGGTTTATTAG